ACAAAGCCATTCTCACTGAAATGTGGAGTATACAGAAAGGAAGAATCATCTTGTTTTCATGTGAGCGAGATAAATTCACTTTCCATTGTCCATCTAAACTTGAATTCATCAGTAAAAGTTAATAAAGCAGGATTTATTGAATTCATCAAATTTTGGTAGAACTCGTCAGCTGAATACTCTATATACACGGATTTATATACTTTTGAAATTACATCGGGAAACATAGGACTGAAGTCATGCAGGAAGACAGGTGCGAATGTTTTTCCTGGTCATGTTCAATTAGATAAGGGGAGAGAGAGTATGGGAGATCAAATTTAAGATAAGTTGCATTACGCTTCAATTACATCACTTAGATAAACAATTAGACATTAGAGAATTTAACAAGAATTGCAACCAGAGGGATGTCAATAGTAATAGTTATAATAACAATAATAATAATAGTGTTGAAGTGAGTTGAGATAATGCTACTGATAAAGGATAGTTTTAAATGAATCAAGAATAATAATAATAAAAATAATAATCATAATAAGAGGTAGAATTATAAGTAAAACGTATTACCATGTTAGATTCAGAGTCACGACCATCTCCTTTTGTACACAGAGACCTGGTTTGTAAACTCGAATTGCACAAGCCTCTGCAATTGCAAGCATCTTCTTCTTTCTTTGTCTTCTGACAATGGTGAATGACTTGACCGCGTCGATATCATGCACGTAATCCACAGGATGCTTTGTTACTGAGGATTTTGGCACTTTGAACTCAGCTGTTTTCAACCATCTTAATTTTGATCTCCCATACTCTCTCTCCCCTTATCTAATTGAACATGACCAGGAAAAACATTCGCACCTGTCTTCCTGCATGACTAATTCAATGTAGTTTGTTTACTTCTCAGTCCTATGTATCCCGATGTAATTTCAAAAGTATATATATCCGTGTATATAGAGTATTCAGCCGACGAGTTCTACCAAAATTTGATGAACTCATTAAATCCTGCTTTATTAACCTTTATTGCTTGTTTGTAGTTCGAATAGGGAAATAAATGTTTCCAAAACTTGAAATCACCACACTCATCTTCAAATGATTTCCGTGAATCTGGGTTTGCTATTCACTGGTGCATATTGTATTTATACGTGTATGTCATCAGTGAATTCGTAGGAACTAATGAAGATGTGACGCTGATCATTCCGTATACACTGTGAATGCCTAGAATACCAGCAGATATTTGCCTCTTCAGCAGAGAGATTCAAGAAAATAATTTGAAATTGGCAATGCCCAAATAATCCTTTCTGAGGAAAGATTTCAATATAGTTTAGATTAGGTGTGAGTTCTCTGGTTTGGCGTGTGGAGTAAGAGCTTGGAGATATATCGAACAGTATGAATAATCCTTCTAATTATTTACTCTAAGAATTCCTTGTCTGTGAACCTAGGCGGAAAACTGTTTTCCATCAGGGTTCTTCGAAAATTACTCAGTTATTCTTCAATCACCTCCTCGCTGCATATCTTCCAAATCCTCAAGAAAAGAGCGTGTATCAGGTTCCTGCAAGAAACTGTTCAGCCAGAGCGGGAAAGACAGGCTGTCGCATTGGGCCACCTCAACGTGCATATACCAGTTTACTTGCTGATGCGGTGCTGAGTACATCAGCCTTACCATACGCCGACTTGAAAAACGCGCTCGTGAAGATTATCCAGCCTGGCTAGTAAAAGGAGAACAAAAATGTGCATATAGTTCAGTGACAGAACATCTGGTCAGTTGAGGACATTCAGTGCCATTCAAAAAGATTTTCAAAATAATATACAAGATCCGATCAAACCTATCAAAGGGAGTAAAATTAAGACAACTGGGCAAAGTCGAGGCACTAGCCATCCGAAAGCTCAGACCAACTCTATGTGTTCAAAAGCAATACTTTCAACCCTTGTTCCTTCCATGGTCATCATAAACAGGTAATTCTTCTAATAGTGACTGTCCCATTCACTTTCTTATCCAAATTTCCTGTTTATTCATGTAAGTTCAAGTTTTTCTTGATCCCTATTTACACTACCATACTTTCATATCCGAACTTCCTGTCTATTTCGTAATTTTTTTTTTAGTTTCTACATATTCAATCCCAGATTGCATTAACAATTATTCGTCACATTAGTTATGTTCCCACTAGATTATTTATCCCAACATTCTGTCTATTGTTCTGATTTTTACATTTATAACCCCTAATTGCACAACATGTCAATCTTCTCAGTAATTATAATGCAACTTAGTCTGAGCTTTATCCGTCCCCCTGTTTATCATGGCATTTCAATTCCTAATTAAGATTCTTGACCAGGAATTATTCTGGAACTTTCTTACCAATTTATTATAAATACACGAATGTGCGCCCTAGTCGATGATTTCGTCGAAAAGAAAATTTTCTTCGCTGCAACTGTCTTTTAGTTCACTATGAGAGTTAGGGAGGGGCTGAACGAACTTTTCTGCATACAGAGATCTAGCTTTTCTGTTTCGATGGCCACAGCTTCAGAAATACACATGAGTTGGATATAATAATAATCACAATAATTTGCTTTATTCCAGAAACAGTACTAGTTGTACAGTGTGGAATTTTCAGCGCATATCTACAATATTTGCATCTAATTTTACAAACATTTAAAAGGAGTATTTAACAAACAAACAAACAAAAATATATCTAAAGACACCAACAGCAAAATATAACAAACAGGAAAAACACAAAATTAATTATGAATGCCAAAAAATAGCAAGAAGTAGAAAGGAAAATAAACATCATATAATAATAACTCAGTATTGGGTAGTGTAAGCTATGATATGATTACGCATGGTGACAGTAAAGCTGTAGTCATACAAGAAGTTATGAAATGATATTTAAGAATGTTTGTCGCCAAGATGGTCAGTTAATTTGGTTGAAACAACTCTAAACAACCACAGAATAACATTTCAGGTTTGTTGTTTTGTTTTTATTGTCAGATCTAATGCAGTGTTTGTAGTGGTAGTGAGAGTAATCCTGAATAATACAAAATTTTTTTTTCAAGGTGGTGACTATGGCGTTCACAACCAATGATTGTCAGTTTAATATTGCCGAAAAGTATAGAAAATAAGAAAAAACAACCACAAAACTAATAATTACATGATGGTTAATGACAGGACAATTTTGTAATACTCATAGTGCCAATAGAGTCGGAACCAGTGGATACACAATAGAAGGAATATAGTAAAGTACAAAAAAGGAAGCCAATGTTAATAATTTAGGCAGCTAAGTATGTTTGAGAGGGAGTTCACTATAGAATACAAAATAGAAGAGAAATAAAAGAGCTTAAAATCATGTTGTTAATACCACAGCAAGTCATAGGTTTCACGCTTAACATTGTCTCTGTCGCGTAGAACACGGGCCAAGTATGGTATCGTTGAGTTCCTGTACTTGGTTGTACGAGCATAGATTATTTTATACTGATTTCTGGTTTTACTTGATGAGATACAAGACGAGCGTTGGGAATAGAGGGGGTGTTGGGGGTCGGAGAGTATGGTTTTTGACCATTTCTCGCATGTATTCAGATGTCTATCAACTAATGTAGTGACGAGCTGACTGAGTTGTACACCACTAGTCCTACTAACAACCTCCAACATCCTTCTCAGGATGGTATAGTCCTTTTTCAGAAGACCAGGAAAGACTAACGGGGTGCAGTAAAGTAGAATAGGTAAGATACAAGAGTTGACAAATTGTGAAAGTAGAGGTTGGGTGATTCCAGATTGTCTAAGTTTCTTAATGTAGTAGGTAAGACAGAACACTTTCTTAGAAATCATTAGGATATGAGATGTCCAAGTAAGGTGGGAAGATAGAACTACACCGAGGTATTTAGCATCAGACTTAGTTTCAATTTTTGTCCGCTCAATGCAACAGGCTTCATGAGAACTTTCTAGTGATTGTAGATCTCGTTTATGCCTAAGGGAGAAGTCAATAGTCTGGCATTTTGAGGGATTCAGCATGTGACCATTTAGTTTGGACCATTCACTGATGTCCGACAGGAAGCTATTCAATTTGAGACAGTCTGACTGAGACTTAATGGGAAACGATACAGACAGGTCATCTGCATATTTGACGAAGTTGATTTCATCTGAGAGAGGTAAATCATGTAAGAAGAAGGAAAAGAGAAATGGAGAAAGAACAGCACCCTGAGGAACTCCCGCTTCAGTAAGCAAAGGAGAGGAAGATACACCATTATATACCGTGTACTGCGTCCGATTAGAGAAGTAAGAGTGTAGCCAGTTGATAGCCCAGGGCTCAGTTTGTGTAAGGCTAAGCTTGTTTACCAATAGGCCTCTAGGTACAGAGTCGAAAGCAGATGTATAGTCAAGGAATGTTTTTTTTACTCCTTCACGTTCCCAGTGGAATATAGGGCTTCAAGCTAGAGGCTTGAAGTTTCTGTAGCAGTGTTTATTTTTACAGGATGGGGTTGCTAGCCTCATGCCCAACCTTTCCTCTTCATCAGCTTTTATTACGGGCTTAGCGAGGTAAGGAGTGCGCCGGCCGGGAATCGAACCCCGGACCATGTGCATGGTCGGCGAGCGTCCTAACCGCTATGCCACCGACGCACTTTTACACAAATAAGTAACATATATTTAATAAACGCATAATGAATACATGAGAGTAAAGTAAAAACAAGAGGAAAAAGTAGAGCTGAAGATGCAAGAAGGGAGAAAGAAACGTTGATTTAGAAAATGTGTAAATATAGCCCATGAATAGGAAAATATGGCAAGTTCAGTTGTGTTCAAAAAAGATAAGTACATAGGTGAGACAAACAAACGAATAGTTCGAATATATAAGTATTTAAAATTAATAATACAAAAAACAATGAAAACGATAACCACAACGACGACAAACAATAACAACAACAGTAATTGCAAGAGAAAAGAAAAGTTATAGACAGAAAAAACAAATCAGTGGATAAGGGAATGGAGCAATAAACACAACGATAACAACAACAAAAAAGAAGGAAGAAGACTATGCCGTTCTCTTCAAATCAGCTGTTTGTATACCAGCAAGTATACGCTGCCATAAAGCTGGACTACACTTTTGATGACGACGAATACGAGTGAGTAAATTATTCCAATGTAGTCCACAATCAATAGCCGGCATACTTAAATGAACATTATATGCTTTTAAAACAAGATCAACGAATTCATCCCATTCGGCTTGACTTTGTCCAATAAACTGAAGTCTTTGACCAATGTACTTTTGAAATAAAGTATGCGTTTGGTTGATTAACATCTCTACAACATCTCTACCAGTAAATTCATTTGCATTCGGCTTTGTTTGTTCATCAGTCCGAGTGTAATTAGTATGAGATGAAGTGGTTGCAGCCGGTGGTGTAACTGAATTTGTGTATGCATAATTTTGAAGGAAAGGACGAATGTATGGTTGTGCATTCATTTGCCATTGTATTGGCGTTTGATAAGGTGGCCGATTTAATGGATGCCCTAAATTATTTGGTTTGTTAGAATTGATATAAGAATTAGAATTTATATTTAGTTCAGAATTTAAATTCATTTGTTGAAATTGACAGATATTTTCTTGTAACTGATTTGAATATAAAATTTGTTGTAATACAGGGTAATTCATAGGTCCAGTAGAATGTGACCACGGTATATTTGACGGGTGAATCGAAGGTGGTAAGAATGAGTGGTAATTAAATGAGGAAGCCATGTTGTTTGGATCTGAATGAGAATAAGGTACAGGCATAATTGGAATAAAATCCTGTGGATTCTGAACATTTGTATTTATTGGCCAGTTGGATGTAGTCATAGACGGCAGTGTTGTCCACAACTGATTGGGCATATGTGAATGATCGGCAAAATTTCGAGATGTATTTGGACAAAAGTTAATATTTTTATCAGCAGTCTCAGAAATAACTTCGTTGGATGACTGAATACCAAAATAGTTCTGTCGGTCAAATGATGGATTTTTAATAGGAGCATTACTGACACAACTGTTACCAACACTGGGACCGCTACCACCACAAACTGTACCAGTAGTAGTGGATGTGTTCTCCTTCATACGTTTCTCATAATAGTCAATAACTCTAGCGGTTATTTGTTCCATTAATAATGGACAGGTGACACACTGTAAAACTAAATTGCAGTATTCATTTACAGCCATAGGACCTAAACTACTGGCTACATCTAAAGTCCATAGGATGTACAACGGACAAACTTGGCCCCTTTGTCTAAGTAGGATACAATGTTGTGATGAAACACAGGAGCAGCGTCCAAAGTACTTCTACCCTGTTTGTAAGCAAACTGCTTTGGATCGTTTGAGAAACTTAGGGAAGGAACAAGTTTTAGTAACAATAATTTCTCCATTAGTTTCAAAAAAGGAGAAGTAATAGCGATAGGTCTAAACGTAGCATTATTACCAGAGCCTGACTTGGGTACAGGGATGATTTTAATATCTTTCCACAGAGAAGGTACAACATTATTAGAAAAAGAAGTGTTGAAAATGTTTGTAAGTGGGTTGCTTAAAATATCAGCATATTTCCTTAGGACAATGGCAGGTATAACATCAGGACCTAGACTCTGGGAAGGTTTAAGAGATTTTAAACATTTAAGAACATCAGAAGTTTTAAAACTATTAAAATCACTGGTCATGCTATTTGTTACATTGGAGCTAAAAGGTGCATAAGGAAGGCTGATAAAAGATCTATTGAGAGTATTTACATCAATAGAGGGGGCACAAGAACTATGCTTACCACAACCTGTAATTTCTTTGAAAAGCTTCCACATGTTCCCAGGAGTTTTACATGACAAAATTCTTTGATTATAAATATTGTTTGACCTCTTGATTTCAGATTTAATTTGGATGTTTATCCTCCTAAGACCAGCTTTACCTTCAGCCTTGTACAGTCTCTCTTTTTCTCTTCGAAGCTTTTCGAGATGAGGGGAGGAGAAACGTTCTATTCTTTTGAAAAGTATCTGTTTTGGACAGCATACATCAAGGCAGATATTAAGATAGTCAGTCAGATTGGAAATAGTATCATCCAGTGTGTGTTCAGTGAAAAGTTCCCAGTTTGTGTCACTTAACATACATCTTAGTTTGAGCACGTTTTCTTGTGTAACATTGTTGTGTTTTCCTGGAGAGACTCGAGAGGATATTATAGTGATATCTGCTATATATCTTGGGTAATATCCGAATAATACAATGATCAGAGTTCATTATAACAGGACGTCTGCGTGCTTCATATATTTCCGCATCATTAGTAAATACTAGATCCAGCGTTTTATCAAGTCGAGTTGGAAATTTGACAATATTGAGATGACCTAATGATTCAAGAAAAGAACAGTCACAGGTATTGAAATCTCCAGTGACAAGTGATAAAGAGTTTTCAAGATGTGTAACAGCGAATGCTGTGAATGTGTTATAATGGTGTAGTGGTTAATCACCATCATATTATTGGCAATAAAATGAACATCAGAACACTGACGATCAGAAATGAAATATTTGCACTTGTGGAGAGGATGAAAAATCGTTTCGACTAAACGAAGTAGGAGAGAGTGGGAACAATTGAAACAGCAAATGATGTTGCACTTCCACTACTCTGACCTTCACAGTAGTGTAGAATTGCATGCAAAATAGATCGGTGCACGACTTCACTGGCACATATTTTATGCAACATTCCATCTGAGAGATCATGTGTGGATATCATGGACGTCCCGACAGTTTACTCACCGCACCCAGACAGAATTTCTTCAAATCCAGGTCTGATCAGATTACCTAAGCCATTGAACAAGAACGAAACTCCACTGATTGGTCAGAGATTAACCTGAGTCAAAACCCTGTATACTATGGAAGATGTGGCCGATAGAATTTCAATAGATTGCATGAATATATGGCATGAGTGATGCTGATGGATAGGCGAAAGAAGAAAACTCGTGTTACGCATGTAAAATCATTCGATACTTCACCGAGTTCCCATAACTTCAAATGCATGTAAAAGTGGGTTCGTACTCCGTAGAAAATGTTCGATGCAGGTGACAATGGACATGCATCTCTTGACAACATGTTGACTACTATCAGTCAGATGGGACGAATTGAGGGTCCTCACGGATTTTTCTGTCATTTTCCCGACCATGAAGGAAGACGGTGAGTGTTGCATCTTTGAAGTTGATAACTTGCTCATCCTATACTAATTACTGAACAGAAACGGCTAAATATGTAAATACAAGTGAAGTTTATGTAAGTAACCTCACCTGGTTTATTAGTTTCCTACTTTTCTAGCCGGTCGCAAGTCCACGAAAAGAATGAAATTTGGAAGTGAGGCTAGCAGCGCCTCTTCGGAAAATCAATAAAATCGCAGCAGACACTTCAAAACACAATAAAGACTAGAAAATACAAAATAATAAACGTATTTTCAGCTGCGTTTGGAGGGACAAAATGATGTGGAGTGATGAAAGCCTCCGGGAAGTCAGTCAGCCGATGTGTTTTCTTCACATAAAAGCAAAGACAAGCGTGGGACATGGAATGGTCGTTCAATGAAGGAGGCTAGGAAGGCTGCTCAAACCACCAGAGAATTGAGATGTGGCAAAGAAGTGGTTGGAATATGTGAGAGCAAGTGGAGTGCATGTGAACCGTGAAAATTGTCAACTGGAGAGTCAGTAACCTATTCGCGTCACTCAGACGAGAACCAGGCGCTCACTGTGTGAGTAGTTTTCAGCAGTCCCGTGGGATAATGACAGCAGGCTTATGACCGAAATGAACGCTAAGCTGGGAGCAGAATATAAGAGAAGAGAGCTAGACATAGGTCGCAAAATGAATGAAAACGGCAAACCGTTTGCTGACTTCTGTGCCTCCAATCATTTGGTGATTGAAGAAAGCGGGTATATCCACAAGGACATATTCAAGACAACATCGATTCCGCCTGAACGGTACAACAAAAATCAAATAGACTTCATCTCATTAGAGTTCGAGAAAACGGTAACTTAGTCTACTAGACACGTGGTCGAGGTGGGAGCAGATCTGTGCTCAAACCATCATTTAATTTGAGGAACCTTCCAGCTGTAGATGGGAGCCTTCAAAGTAGCTTCCGTAAGACCACAATCCGTGTCCGATAAACGACAGAGAATATGGGCGGGATTCGCCACACACAAGCAAGCAAGGCAAGACCGATTGAAAGGGAAGATGAATAGAGTGATTAATGGCGGGCTTTCATCTCGAGTCAGATGAAAGCAGTCGTCATCACGTCATGTTATTTTGAGAAAAAGAAGACATGAGGCAGTTGCACCATCTTTACCGCCAGTCACTCCAATTCTCATCATGATATGACAATTTCGGTGACATGGTGGAGCGTGAGTGCTGGGAAGTAGGGCTCTGAAGGAAATCGCTCTAACCGCTAATCACACTTTCCATGGCCACACACAATGAATACCAGTGACAAGCGGAAATAGGTGTACAACATCACTCGTTGACAGACAGATTGATTGTCTGAGTGGACAACAGTGACAAAGACATTTCACAGTGATGATGGATTGAATATACATTTTTAAGGTTATGAAGCAACGCCACTCAAACATTCGACTAAATTACGAGCATGTGACACAACGAAATCTGATGAATTCTACGCCAATTGACTCGAATAATCTCTAAGATACAATGTTCGGATTTTGGCCTCACAAACAGGAGGTGAGGCAACACAAGCAGCATTGAAATCCAGGCGCCAATAAGCTATCTGAGATCTGATACCTATCAGTTCTTCTAAAGATGTGATCACAAGCAATATCTTCCTTAGTCTGCGATAATCGTTCGCCTACTTTATTTTGATCAATTCACGCACAACTTGATGATTTCGCACCTTTTGTATGCAATTGAATTTTATTCATTTTTGTTCTTTGCAAATTATTGGGAAATTCCAATGTGATCTTCAGGATTTTATTATCCCATATACATTGTCGAATGATTTTCATAGCTAGTTGGTACGGCTTTTTTGTTGTAATGAGTTTTGAATGTTTGTTTGCTCTTTAATATCAAAGCTTCTTTGGTGTCTGAGGATTTTGAATTTGTTTTCTCTCTAATATCTTGTTGACAGAGGATTATTTGGTTATTTATTATATGCACATATATATTTATGATTATTTTCTATTGCACTTAATACCACTGCTGGCTTAATATCCCGTTTATTTTACTTCTGTTCACAAGCCTGAGTTAAAAGGTTACTGGGGGAATGTGTTTAGCCTCTCTACCTCTGTAAGGATTTGCGCTGCTAGACAAACACCGAGGCACAACAAATATTTTAAAAGTTGGAAAAATATCCTGAAAGCGAGCATTTCTTAATAGAATCGGCGAAGTAAAATTACGCAGTCTGCTGAAAACTTTCTGAAAGCCAGTGTGCCGATGTGTCCCTTGTCACAGAACGCAAGAATAAGATTGAGGACGTGAAATGTCCGTGCAATGCACGAAGCTGGGAGTGCTAAACAGGCAGCAAAAGAATTTTGAAGGTATGTTATAGAACTGCTCGGAATCTGCAAAAGCAGATGGAATGGATGTGGACCACCGAAATTGTCAACTGGTTATTCAGTAATCTACTCCGGGAGCTCGGACAACAACCATCAGCACACTGTGGTAGTTGCTTTCATATTGTCACCAGTGTGAACTGATTTCACACAGGATTTCGACAACAAGATTCAGCTCAAGGAAGACAGGTTACAATTATCTGATGCTACGCATCTACAAGCAACTCGAAGTAAGAGAAGGAAGACGATTTCTACGGCCAACTGTAAACAGTAATGGACAACATTCTAAATGGAGTCATCAAAATCCCCATGCGCTACATGTATTCTAAACTGAGGTAGAAAAAACGGGAAGACAACTCATCATGGGTCGAGAAACTCCCAGAGAAGTGACATGGGATAATTCTTCGCAGACTTCTGTTTGTTCAGCGACTTGCTGATTGGAGGCAGCGTGTACAACTACAGGGATATACACAAGGAAACATGGATTCCACCTGATGGATGGACCAAAATCCATCCAGATTTCATTTCAACCTCAAGTAAGTGAAGATGCGATCCCCTAGACACAAAGTCGAGAAAGAGAACATATTTGGGCTCAGACCATTATCCAGTTCAAGGAACCATCAAGGGGGAGCTGAAATCCTTCGAAACAACTTGAGA